TCACAGTACGATGATATTTTTGTGGTTGACTGAGAAGTGCTAGAAGTTGGTCGAGAAGAACCTAAACAAGTTATGTAACTTCATCAATCAACTTCAGATAAAACCATAAATTCTAGCAAGTTTGGCAGTTGGTGAAGATTATAAAAAAGAAGCCTTACCTTCATACCATCTTCACCTTCTTTTACAATCGTACGCAGCTCTTCGCCATCACTTTGATAAACATTAGCCATCTGTTCGGTTGATGCAATTTTCGACCATAGTTTCAAACACAGCCAGAAAGTTGGAAGGACACTGTAAATATTATATCCTAAAAGAATTCAAAAATCTAAAGAAGCGAAGAAATGATTTTCACTTAAAGAGAGAAAAGAGAATGGAGAAGAGAGGAACAAGATGTGGATAAAAAAATTGATTAGGGACTTGTCGACCTCTTAAAACTTCCACTTACATAAATAATTCTTATTACATGATAGAGTTATAATACAGTGTAATAAGATCACAGAACAAAGAAAACAGAATTTTGAGAAGGTTCTAAACATGGAATAGTTACTGAACGTTGTCTCCTGGTTGATGAACTCACCTTCTACTAAATTATAGAAACTGCTAGACAACTGAAAAAGTAGTGAAATGAAATTTGTCTGGCAAAGTTTGAAATGCTGCACTGATCAGAGCACGCTCAACATGAAAAACAGACAAATGCTTTTTTTTCAAATTCAGAAACCCAGAAAATCCCCAAGTATTTAAATTTCAGTAAATGTGAAACATGAAGTATAGTCTCAATTAAACAATGCGCTTAATATGAATAATCCACTAAGAATGCTAGCAAAAAAGGATCTAAAGTAAGGTATGCTTAATTCGAGTTATCGACAACGATCTCCTCTTATGCTGTAAAACATTCCTACCTCTTGTAAACTGGATTTCCACTCATCTTCTTCAGTGCACTCTTCACTACATCTTTTCCAAACAACGATTCTGTAGCTTTCTTTAGCACTTCTTCACCTCCTTCTACTAATGAAACGTTAACTAGTTCGCCAGCTCGTACCTAAAAGAATATTCTCCTTCTAAATTGGCACAGATTAGAAAAATTGACAATAACCTTTATTTTGAAAAGCGAATCTATACAATTTCCCACGGTGTACTGTATATCCTCTGATTTTGGTCGATTTAATAAATCTTTCAACGCTTCTATTTTGGCTTCATTACTCCACTGCGCGAAAGCTGCGGTCACATGTCGGAGCGACCATCGCTTATCGGTTGTCTATAACCGAACAACTACTTTAGGTCAAATATTAGAGGTATAGAACCCAAGATGTCACCTTAATCCACTCAGCCACTCCTTCACGACTCAATCGGCCAACCAGGTGATCCACTAGGTTAGCGCCGGTTAAAAAATCGAAGCTTTCTGTCGCATCGAGAATATTGATCAATTTCAACAATTGCGAGTCATCAGTTTTCAAAGTGTTCAGATATTCCTCCGTAAATTTGCAAAATTCGGTGATCTAAAATGAATGAATTACTAAAGAAGGTGCACA